TCAGCCTCCCAGAGAGCTAGGATTACAGGCGTGAGCCACCGCGCCCAGCCCATGTCTTCCTTTTACTTAAAAAACCAACCTGTGGGGATTCTGTGTAACTCTCAGTACATTTCTTCTTTTCACTGCCTTCTGATCTGATCCCAGGCTCGGTGGGTCTCCCAAGGCCCCTGCAGCAGTAGTGGAGGCACCAGCACTCCACGGCCTGCTGGGGGGACTCAGCACGTGTGTGTGCTTTCTCCCCAGGTGGTGAAGGTTGTGGTTTTGAACTGTGAGCCGTCCAAAGAGAGGATGCTTTTATCCTTCAAGCTGTTGAATGATCCAGAACTACAGAAAGAGCCCGCAGGACGCAGTCAGAAGAAAGGAAGAGTCATTAACGTTGGGCAGGTACTTGGACTTCTCTGGACAAGTTATTTTATTTATTGTGAAGAGCAGGGTACCACTGACGGGGGTACTGGAACCCGTGAAGGAGAAAGGTAGAGGTAGCTAGATAAGATTCTGGGGCTAGAGGGGCTCTTGAGAGAAGACCTCATATATGTTCTTTCCTCTGTGCTGGAACAAATGGAAGAAGTCTGTGACAGGGAAGCTCTGTTATGGGGTGGCTTTTCATTGTGTGCTGCTACCCTCTTTCCTCTCTGGTCCCTGGGACCAGCTTGCAGTTCTGTCTTTCTTCTGGAACTCAGTGGAGGGACTTGGGAGAGGAGGGAGATGAGCCTACAGACGAGTCCTGGTGTGTGTGCACGTGCGTGCATGCTGGTCTGGTGGGGTGGGGTCTGGAAGAAAGCTGCTTCTCTGCTCTTGGCCTCTCAGTGATCCCTTATGCTGAAGTGTGATGCCTCTGAGCGTTGCCTGATCCAGACTAAGATGCTCTCTGTTCAAGACAAATGCTATTTTGTATCTTTATTTTCCCTGGGTAGTTGGTGGATGTGAAGGTTTTAGAGAAGACCAAAGATGGGCTGGAGGTGACTGTCCTGCCCTACAACATCCCTGCTTTCCTCCCCACGCCTCATCTGTCAGACCACGTCGCCAACGGCCCACTGTTGTATCACTGGCTCCAGGCAGGCGACACCCTTCATCGTGTCCTGTGTCTGAGCCGGAGCGAGGGACATGTTGTATCCTTGACAGGTGTCTTTGGAGCAGTGGAAGGTGAGGGAGTCATGGGCCCTTGGGTGGGAAATTGTGGGTCAAGTTCAGCTCTTACTGAGAAACCCCACGGGGAAAAAATCAGCCAGTTGACCTCAGAAATACCTCCACGAGACCCAACCAGTGGCAAAGCCTGTACTGCGGAAAGTAAGAGCAGGACTGAGGAAGTGCTGCCAGCAGATGCTGGTGGGCAGGGCAGCATAGCCAGAAACGTCGCCAGGGAGAAGCGGAGCCCAGGGGCCAGGGAGGAGGTAGTAACGTGAGCAAGGCCCAGTGGGACAGCACCAGTAGCACATCTGGCCTTCGTGGGGCATGCAGTGCTTGGCTCTGGGTTAGAACGATTAATAAAGTAGCTTCCGTCATCCTTTCCTCCCTTTCCCCTTTTCCTCCTACCTCCTTCTCCCCCTCAAGGGGATGTGGAGCTCAGAAATATTCCCTTTGGTCTTTGTGTGTGTGCATAGATGGAGGACACTGCCCCTTCTCATGGAATGTGAAATAAAATTTCTTTAGAGTGACGTGGGCAGAGGTGGGAAAACAGGGTTCGTTGGTGTGGAGGTGGGGACAGTGGAAGACTGTGCCGTGACTGACCCTGCTGCCAAACCATTGGGATGAGCTGTTCCTTTTTGGTCCGCTCCAGTAATCTGGAGATGAGTTAATCACGAAAGGAATAAAACAGGGATTCTCAAACTTTCATGTGCATGAGTGTCACCTGGAAGACTTGCTGAAACAGATGGTGGGGCCCATCCCCGAGTTTCTGATTCAGTAGGTCTGGGCTGCTGCCACGAGTTCCAGGTCATGCTGCTGCTGGTCTGCACACTCAGAGAATCACTGCAGTGGCC